TACAAAATAATGAATATTTAATAAGTTTGAATGCAACCCCTTTGGTTTACGACAAAAATGAAAATATCGGAGCGCAAAACAAAAACACGACCATTCACTGTGAAGAGCGATACTACGAGTTGGAATATAATCGATGGCACTATTGATACCATCGATGTTTTTTAATTGTTCTAAACATCGATGGTTTTTGGTCACTATCGATTGTTTTTAGATTATCTGGGCATTGAACACAGCATGTAAGTGAAGTTTAATTTGTCTTAAATTAATTTTAATTTCTTATGTATTTGGCCATTTTTAGTAAATTGTTTACGTTACCTCAATAACGGTGGTGTCGGTTGCATGCAAAGAAGTTGGCAATGGACAAATTTGTGACAAGTATTATTTTAAAGATTTTTGTACATGCGTTTGAATGTCGGAACGGGTATTGAGCAAAGCTGGACAAATTGTTTCCGATCGCAGGAACTGCCTTAAATTAAATATTGTGGATGAATTCTTATTCATTAAGAAGAACAAAAACCTGATCTCAAAACAAGAATACATTTTTTAGTTGTTAAATAATTTTTTTTACTCTAACTAAAAACGTCGATGTTTCATCGATGTTTTGTTTGAAAAACATCTAAAACATCGATGGTCCCAAATATCTATTGTTTTCCAAGTGTCTGCGAAAAGGTAACTCTGCTGTAAAGTGCAAACGAAATGTTTTTCGAATCACTTTTAGCTGCACAGATATACAATGTTTGATGACAGTTAAACTTTTATTTTCTAAATGCTATTGGCCACAAATCCAGTTTTTAATTTTTCTTTACCAATTTAATCAATCAATTTTTAATTTTTCGTTAGGATTTTTTTGAAATTTTGAATAAAATTTTTGAAATTTTATTCATAGCTCCTAACGACGCTCCCAGTTGCTTATAGCGTTACAGGCCATCAACGGGGCCGGTGATGGCTCATTTGAGTTTTTGTTTCTCTTATTAACATCTATGTTAGTTTAGGGCGAAGGCGGGAGCACAATAAAACTCTCTCTACAAATTCACCTCGTCTCCCAATAAAAGTTTCCGCCACTAATAAAACTTTACGCCACTCGTTTTCGGTTTTATTTAACTAGAAAAAAATACTCAATTTTTTCAGAAAGTACTCAATTTTTTTAATCTACAGCAACGGCAATTGTTATTCTTAAAACAAAAAACAAACAAAAAGATTTTTATATAATTCCGTAAAGTTAGTAACTAAAAGTATGAAATATACAATACATATTAGTTTAAAAACAATAATATATTACTATTTTTAAACAAATATAAAATTTAAAAAAAAAAATTTCAGATAATTACGACACCTTTTTAAGAAAATAAACAAACATCCAAATATTTTATTTTTATTACAAACAAGTAAGGAAGCAAACTTGGACAAGCCGAAGTTCATATACCCTTGCAGCTATTGCAGAAATGAAATATTCTTGAAATATATATCTTGCCTAGTCTGAGAGTTATTAATTTATGCCGAAAAACCCAGTCAAATCCCCATAGTGCTGTGGCAGCTATTCTGAAATTTTAAATCATTACAAAGCTCAAAAGAGTTTTTTTTAAATTTAGGTTAGGAAGTTACATTTTTTTTTAATCATTTTTTTTATTATATTTATTATGCTATTGTCGTCCGATCCGGCTCGTTCCGATTTATTTACTACCTGCCAACATTTGAGAAAGTTTCATGCAAATAGCTTTAAAACTGAGAGTAGTTTGCGTAGAAACGTACGGACAGACGGACATGGCTAGATCGACTCTCCTAGTGATGCTGATCAAGAATATATGTACTTTATAGGGTCGGAAATCTCTTCTTCACTGCGTTGCAAACTTCTGACTGAAATTATAATACCCTTTGCAATGGTATAAAAACAAACAAAAATTGTATTTTGTATATTTGCCTAGTTTGTACTGTTAACTAAAAGTAATACATATACAAAATATATCAGTTAAAATACAAATATATATTATATATATATATATTACAAAAAAAATTTAAAAAAAATCTTCAGGTAATTAAAACACACTGCAAGCAGTAACCCAACAAACGGTATTCTTGAAAAACAATTTTCGAGAACAAAAGGTAACATGCAAAGATGCGCGCAGTCTTTTTTGTTTCTTTTGCTTAATTTCGTTGCTGTTGAAATTTAAGTGAGAAAAAATGTGACTTAAACAACATAAATATTAAGTTGGACTTATAAAAACAAAATGTGAATAAAATAAAAATTATAAGTTTTCATATATACAGTGTACGCTCAAAACATCAAAATAAAAAAAGCGCAAACTTAAAACTAATTGGCTGTTAATTTGAAAAACTAAAAGAACTTCGTTATTTTTTTTAGCAAACACTGCAAAAAGATATCAGTTTTAATCTATTATGCATTTATTTAATGCGTTTTACATTTTCTTTTTGTTTAATTTCAGAACAACAAATTTAAAAATATATGGTCATTAAAGTTTTTTCATATGAATTTTGTTTTAAATTTCAGTTTTATAAACTTGTTTTCTTGATTTGAGTGCTCTTTATTCACTTTTTTTAATTCTGTTTATGGTGAACTCGACATAAAAGTGACCTCTGTTTAGTGGGTACAAAATTGAAGCCTTATTCGTTAAATACTTTCAAATTGGCATTTATATTTTTATCAAAATTACATTTATAACAAACTATAACCTTGAGTTTTGCATTTCGATTTATGTATACAAAAATACAAAGTCGCTGACATCAACAACAATATCAAAAGGGGAATTACACGCCCAACACTTGTCGCATGTTGCAAATGCATGTAAATTACGTACATTTTCCGAATTTGCATTCAAGCCTATATATTGGAAAGCAGATCGCTCATAAATTGGAAATGCATTTAACTTTCACGCACTATAGAAGCTTTAACGACAAAAACTGCATCAAGCTATTTTATCTAAAACCAACAACAATTCCATTCCCCTTTTTGGAGATTTTGTTTTGTTGCTCAAAAGTTTTACATAAGCTCGTTGTACATTCATACATTTGATATTTGAGTTCAATTAGCTTTAGCTTTCAAAAAGTTGCATATTCTTAAAATTACACTCTTTCCGATAGCTTTCCTTGGAAACATTTTTTTTAAATTCTTGTAAACATTCTATACATGTTGCTCTGGAACGAATCTATAGATGTCTAACGCAATGCTTGTTTTGGGACAAGTCCAGAAAGGTTTCCGAGTCACGGTTCTATGTTCGTTCTAATAGTTCGTTGTAGAAAGCTTATTTCGTAAAATTCAAATAACAAGGAAAGCCGAGCGTTTCCGAAGTTGAAAATTCATTACACTGAAACGCATTAAGAACGATAAAAAATGACTTAATAAAGAATGCTTGCTTTCCTGTCCTTGTCCCGTCTTGTGTAAAGATAAAATAAAGTGAAAGCACTGAGACGGACCCATTTGTTAGTTGCAAGTCATTATTTCCGAATAGTTATGCAAGTTGTGTGTGAGTCAACCGCTAATTTACATATATAAAAACCTGCAATTCATAACCCATAATATAGACAAACATATTAGGCTTGCCAAAGATTTTTTTTTATTTTTTTAACGTGCCCTTTTAATAAATCTTAAACTTTTATTTATTGACTGAGGTTTGAGCACTATTTTTACTGGAAATCAGTCCTTTTTATTTGTATTCCAAAACGCAGCCACGCTGCGTCCTCTTGATGTACAAAAAATTTTTAAGAAACCGCGTTAAATAGAAGATTATTTGTTCTAAATTTTTTGGGAACCATAAACATAATAAATCCCTGCCATGAACTGGAAAAAAATTGAATATCAACATATTTTTCTTTGGTGACTTTTTGAACGTTTTGAAAGCTAAGATTTTGCAGCTTTTATGTTTAATTAAAAAATACAACTAAGAAAGCTTGACGAGTGGGCTAGACCAGCATAAACAGGAAAGAAAGCAAACTTCGGCTATCCTTAGCTTATATATCCTTGCAACTATTGCAAAAGTAAATTAGTCTTGTATGTTTAAACATTAAACTTGAATAATTTTCAGCTAAATTATTTGATCGTTTCTATGGCAGCTATATGATATAGTTCTCTTATTTGATTTTCTTTCTTTTGGACATAATAATGGTTTAATAATTCTGAGTTACGCTTTTAATTTTATACAAAAAATAAAAGAGTAATTCTGAATTATAAAACCATTACTATGTCCAAAAGAACGAAAACAAAAAATTGAAAATTAGAGAAAAGTTTTTTTTAAATTTATTTCTTGTAAATATTTTGATTGTTTCCAAGGAAGCTACTATATGAAACAGTCGTCCGATTTAATCAAACAGAACCGATAAACAACCATTGTATCTCAAAGAACTATACAAAATTAAAAACAGCAGTTACAATTTTTTTCCCCGATCTTAATACCAATACTTACAATAGAAAGACAACTTTTGGAAGTTTCATGCAGATAGCTTTAAAACTGAGAGACTAGTTTGAATATAAACGGACGGACGGATATGGCTAGATCGACTCTACTAGTGATGCTGATCAAGAATATATATACTTTATAGGGTCGGAAGCGTCTCCTTCACTGCGTTGATAACTTCAAACTGAAGTTATAATTCCGTCTGCAAGGGTATAAAAACAGTATGATATAATTTTTTTCCCGATTGTTCCTATGAGAGCTATATGCCATAGTCGTCCAGTCCGGCTCGTTCCGACTTGAAGTACCTCACCTGCAATAGAAACAAAACTTTTGGGAAAGTTTCATGCAGATAGTTTAAAAACAGAGCGACTAGTTTGCGCAGAAACGGACCGACAGACAGACATGGCCAGATCGATTCTTCTAGTGATACTGATCATTATTATATATACTTTACATAGGGTCGAAAAGGTCTCCTTCACTGCGTTGCAAACTCCTGACTAAAATTATAATACCCTCTGCCAGGGTATAAACATCTATGCCAGCTGAATCAAAATACCCAAAATGCAAAAGTTTGCAAATAGTGGTTTTCAATAATTATATAGAAAATCAATTCATTTATATTTGAACCAATCACTACAGAATTTTATAGCAAATCAAATAAAAGCTGCTTAGGCAACGAACTCGTATGGAATTGGAGCCAGAGCGATGGGATCCTCCAGCCTCTTAACGAAGTGCGCCTTCTTCGGCTGCTCAGGCTGACGCTTGAGGCTGACCCATTGACCCTTCTCCTTGGCCTCCTTCAGCAGCCGCTCGTTCTCCTTCACGCGACGCAGGAAATCCTCACGGCACTTGGAGTGGTGGATGTGCTCGATGCGCACATTGACACGCTTGGCAAGGATCTTACCGCGAACACGTTTATTTACAATTACACCAACAGCATGCTGAGTCACATTGAAGATCCGACCGGTCTTGCCGTGATAAGCCTTGTAGGGCAAACCTTTCTGTACGGCACCGTGTCCCTTTATGTCCACGATGTCACCGATCTTAAAGACGCGCATGTATGTGGACAGTGGGATGACACCATGCTTGCGGAAGGGACGGGAGAACATATCTCGTGTGCCGCGGCGGTAACCTTTCGAGTTGGTCATTTTATCTGATCTAGTTCCCTGCAACAATATGAAAATTTTAACATAACGAACAATATTCCAAAAATAATGTTTGAAATTACGAAAAATTTTCACTAACCTTTTACGTATTGACGTCCACGCGCTCGTTAAGTTAGGGAAAGAAAGAAAGATGGCTACCTCTATAGAGATGCCACTTTGTGACATTTATCTAGGCTTTCATATCGGGACCTAACGATTAATACCGTATTCACACACAGTCTATCCGTTGGAAACAGAGCACATCCAGCATCTGCATTCCTTTAACAGCTGATCTAAAAAGAATTGGCCCATCGAAACATAAACAAAGATTGTTTAAGTGGACTCTGCGAGACTGAAATGAATAATTTACCGACTTTTTTTTGTTGTTCAACTGCAAATATTAACGGTGGAATTTCATAGCAGATTCAATGAATCATGAAGAAACATCGATTTTTGCAGACATCGAAGTTTTCCTGTTTTATATTATAATGTATGTTATTGCTTAAAAATAGGTGCTTGTCAACAACAGAAAAGCTAAGTCTTGTGCGACCGTCGGAAATCAGTTGGCCAGCCTGGTTGAATACCCTTTTCGTCTTGCATTCAAAAGAAGTTAAGGTCTTAGCATCTACAGCTATATAAGCTTTTGCCCCATTTTGCAAGCAGAACTATTGCTGTAACGCAACGGCGATTTTCCAATATATACCTCCATTTCATTTTGTATTAGTTGAAAGTTGAGCTTTGTCCTTTTCAATATCTAAGGCGATATAGATGTACGTGCCTTATATGGTCGAGAAGGTTTGTTGTGTTGCTGGCCGTCGTTATAGACCTCCTGCATTAGTTGCATTTGCAATGTGTTTTTCAAACAGCTAATTTTAACAATCAAAACTTCTACCATTTCGATCCCGGCTCCTCCAAATTTGCATTTGAAATTCCAAATAAAAGTACAAGTGTACCCAAATGCCTGAAAAGAAGCATAGGCATATTAATAAAACTTAATTATCCGAAATTTATTAATGTCCTCCACGACATTAGCCACCACCGTCGACAGAACATTGAACTTAAAAAAAGTATAATATTTACAAAAAAATTAATTAATTTTCATACCTACAATGCACATGTCCACTTCGCATTTGAAGCCAAACATCGATGTAACCGATGAATTGAATTGAATTGAATTGAACAGCTAATATACAGATTCGATGTCAACTTTTATTTAAAAGTTTAAATAGCCATTTAACCACTAAACAGCTGTGGCTCATGAAAACATAAGCAAAGATGGTTGACCTGTTGCCTTTTTTAAAGTTTTGATGAGCCACAGCTGTTTAGATCAGCTTAAATCGGAAGCTGTAAAATGGATGTTCTCTGTGGAAAGCGAAGTTTCACATTTGTTGAAAATTCCAACCGTTTCCAACGAATGGACAGTGTGGAAAGAGAGCATAACGTCGACATAGAGGGAAATACTGCCATTTTACTCTGAGAATAAATATGATATTTGAAAATTGGTAAGGTAAGTACGGATGCATATTGTTTCTTCCTGTTCAAAATACATTTTACATAACTTTTAATTAAGACCACTGTTGTTGCTAATCTTCTCTCTCAGCTTGTTTTCGCATGAACTCTGATCTGTGTCAGCACTTGCGTATTATATTCTGCAAAAACTTTTAAAGCATTTTTATGAAGAGATATGGATACACAAGTTTTTATACCTAATTGGACTAACATTTAAAAGGCTTCTGATAAATTGGCTCGATGTGCCAGAGTTTATAAATGAAGTTTTATAATAGGCTCCCAAAATATTAAAATAAATAAAAACAAAGTTTTGTTGGTAAAGCTAGTACTCAAATCGACGAACAGTTTCGCCAGCGAAAAAACTTTATTCTTTCTAGTGAGACCGAAGTTTTCAGATTCACCAGAGTACGTGTTCATCTGTAATAATGTCAAACAGCTGGGCTTGTTGACAAACAAATTAATTTGAGAAAGCAAAATCGAAGATGTTGAATATAAACGATTTAGCTTGCATGATTACATATTTTATTCTTTTCGCCAGGGCTTGACAAACATTCATCGAGAGTTCATCCCAGATGTCTGGCAACGCTGCATATTTCTAGAATTTTTTCCGTCGATCTGAGTATCGACACGAAAAAAGGCACCTTTGAAAAGTGTACGGTTATTTGCCTCTCGCTCTATCTCATAGGCATCAAACGGGTTTCGATGAAAACATCGGCCGTTATTGAGGTAACATAAACACTTCATTAAAAAACGGCCAAATACATAAGAAATTAAAATTAATTTAAGACCATTGGCGCATTAAAACGCATTTAGCCTAATGCGCATTTATTTACACAGGGAATCCCATAATGCTAAATGCTGCATATAAAATAAATGCGATAATTAAATGCGATTAAAAATCATTCGCTCCAGAAAATACCGATGTTTAAGAATATTTTGTTCTTGCCACCACTACAACAGCTGATTTTTATATGCAAGGTTGGCGTAATTTTTGATATCTTTTGAATATAAAATCTATTTTGTACGCACGATGGAAATTCTTCTCGCAGTACCACAATGCATTACTGCTGGATCTCTGTCAGGAAATAACTCCCACATATACGGGAATCCTTGCCTATTTTAGAAACTGTAATGGTCTTTATTGCAAGCCCGTCAAACAACGCAATCAGCTTCTCTTCCTTGTCGTCCAAGTTGGCAAATGCCTCGGTCTCATTATGGATGCTGCTGAGCATTAAACAGTTGAGTAAACTCACTTATATTCAATATTTTTGGTTAATTTCTTTTGGATTTGCCAAAATTCATAAGTAAACAAACCCAGATCAGCTGTTCGTGCCACTCAGAGTAGCATTAGCTCAATGCTAATGCGCGAATGGAATCAGGCACATTTAAAAAGTCCACTAATGCCTCATTCATTGCTCATTTTTTGTTTTAACTATACGATTTAAGTGCGAGAAGGACAAACGTATGACGATTCCGATAAGCAATGAATGCAGAAAATTGACTGAACCCGATACCCCATAGTAAAATACTAGACGGAATCGGGCAACAGAAATAACACTGGGGCCGATACATCAATGAGCAAAATGGTATTTAAAAAGTACAAATTTGATCTTTCTTGGAGTTGACGACAAAACGGAATAAAACGGGAGGCTTAACTGTATACAAATTATTATTTATTATTTATAGGTAACAACTGAAAACCTTAAAACGTTAAAACTTGCGGGATAAACACAATATCATAAACAAAACAATAAAATTTTAATTTATTTTTAAACATGCAGTGTGACAATATTTTTTAAACAAAAAATCTTAAGCAGTGTCTATATAGTTGTCTCTGTCTCTGAGCTTCAATGAATTCGTCAATGAATGAGGCGAACAATGTAATGTCATACCCATATAATGAAGCCTTACCCATTTTCACAACCGCATCCGTCGAACAGCGAAATTTTAATTACAGTCTGTCCAAAGCTGGGCGAGTGGTGGAAAATGCGTTTGGCCATTTAAAGGCTAGGTTCCGATCTATTGGAAAAGGTTTTGTTCTTCATAATATATTGAATGAGCACATCAGCATCATCATTACTGGCAACTAACTGCAAATGACTTGAAGGAACAACCAGATCGGACTAATATGCCTGCCGATTTCAGTCATCCGGCAGAGAAAATAAGATCAGCTGTCGCTCAATATTGCCTAAATGGAAGCAATTCATGTTTTTTGTTCGTTTTTGTTATATTTTATCTTCGAATTTTGTTCTATTATATTTTTAATTAAAATATTTCTATAAAATAAGTTTAATCTATTTTAAATTGATTTAATTTAATTTAATCTGTCATTTTCATCACCGTGTTTTGCTCCATGTTGTGGACGCGGAAAAATCCCAAAAATGAGTTCAGCGACTCGTAGTGCTGCCACACAGAAGTAGCCCCCCGCTTGGCACCATTTTTTTTTCCTGCCTGCACGCATATAATAATTATCTTTACTTTTTTGTTAGGTTTTCAATTTTCGTCCTAACATTCTTAAAGGACACATCATGCCCAGTCTCCATCATGGTCTAGGCCTTCTCCATGTACACATGGACATTTTTGCGGTTTCCACGCAATGTCTGTTCTTGTATCATCGTTCTCGGTCTTGTATCATCGACCTGTTGCATACCGGTTTCTTTGACGCGTTCCATTTTTCATTTGTTCCTAGTCATCATTGCTTACGTTTTCGTTGTGAATGCTCAATACTCACTGCCAAATGGAAGATTTTAGAGTTGTACCGAAAAAAACATCGACTAACTATCGCATAAACTACACCGTCAAATTTTAACGGGGGACTACAGCAAAATTTTTGGAACGGCAAAACCTTATGGACCATAAGCAATAGGAACATTTGCAGTTAAAGCCAAGTACTCAGATCGACAAATTCGGTTCGTCAGCTATGAGAGAGAGCGGGAGCTAAAAAACCGGCGTACACTTTTCATCACCGTCATTTCTCACCCTGGTACCTAGATTCACGAAAAAATAAGAAAAAATTACAGAGTGCCGCCAGATTTTTGAGATGAACTCTGAACTTTCGTACGCCGCCGAAAATATAAAAAATTATTCCTTTGAGGTTTGAGTTAGCAGAGCATAGTAAAAGACGGAAAGACTCAAACTATAGCTGAAAACATTTATAGAGATACTATTTCATAATTAATCTGTATTATTTAAACAGTATAGATGTTTATTAAATAAAGTTGCAAGCTGGCGGATTAAATTTGAATTGTTTCCATTGGCGCATTAAAACGTATTTAGCCTTATGCGCATTTATTTACACAGGGAATCCCATAAGGCTAAATGCCGCATTTAAAATAATGCGATAAAAATAATTCGCCCCGAACGATTTTTGACAAAATTCCGGGAAATACCGGTGTTTAACTATATTTTGTTCGTGCTACCACTACAACAGCCTTTTTTTATATGTAAGGTTGGCGCAATTTTTGATTTCTTTCGAATACATTATCTATCTATTTTGTTTAAAAATGACTGAAAACAAGAGCGCACGCGGCAAATTCTGCTCACAGTACCACAATGCATAAGTGCTGGATCTCTGACAGGAGACACATACGGGGATCCTTTATAGCTTTATAAATTAAATTAAAAACAAGACTGCATCATTAATTTTACTGGAAACTCTTCAGAACTGGCTAAACTCCAAGAAACGGGGTCGTATGTAGACTTTAGTCCGCCACTGTATATCTTG